TGGGACAGGAGAATTTTTTCCTGTTGAAACATTTTTCCTTTCAACATGACAACAGAATAATTTATGAGGACATGAAAAATGACTTGTGATTTCTCCATTCACAAGTGAATATTTTCTGGACAAATTAACAAACAAAATGTATTAGTTCCAAAAAAATTGCTTCTCATTTTTTAATGTGGAAAATTTCCGAAATTTTATTCGTTCATCTAAATTTGCTAAATGCAAATAATTTTTTTGTCGAGTGCAGTTGACGATATTTCACTCTTTTCCCGAGTTGAATTCCACGTCATATTTTATAGTTGAAATGTTGTCTCCAGCAATAGGCGCCAATGTATCCACGTTTTTCTTTATTTTATGGCCGCGCCCATTTCAAAGTTTCCAGGCGAAACAAAACGCCGATGACAGCTGTTGATACGTGGAATTTTCATTAGCCACACGCAATGATTGGTTTTTACTAAAGTTTTTTTCATCGAGATCTTTTTGTCCTCGGAAGGTTTTATCGAAAACGTGATCTATCAGTCATTCCTTTTGGGACACTTGTGGGAGGTACTTCTCACGTATTGGGAGGTGATTTATTAAATTTTGATTGAGGACATGAGGTAAATGCGTGTGCACGCGCTCTGCTGGATTTTATAAGGCTTAAGGGTAATTATTTTTATGCTTAGGAATGGGGGAAGCTGGGAGGACGAGGGTTTTGATGATGGATTTAGTAATTGGCGAGCCAGGAGAGCACTGCCCAGAGAATACTTTATCGAGATCATGGTTGTTGCTGATGCTAAAATGGTGGATTATCATGGGAGCAACCTTGTTGGGTACATACTTGTACTTATGAGCACGGTAAGATGATTTTTTTATTGATAGACATTTTCAGATTCCATTTTCCAGGGAACCAATTAAATTAGCATTACTTGAGTTCTTATTTATTTTCAAATTTTCACTTGTTGGGAAATTCATGACTTTTTATAGAAATTTTGAGAATCATTTCTAAAAAAATCATTATAAACTATTTTTATTTGTTGAAGAAAGACGATCATGTACTGTTTATCGAACTTTATCTTTGGTTTGAATTTTACCTTGTTGGTGTGAAATATTTACAAATTTGGACATTATATTGTGTTGGGGTAACTACTCCTAGGGTTCTAATGAAAAAAGAGAAAAATTTTTGCACGATTGCAGATTGAGATATCGATTCCAAGAGATTTGAGAAGTTTATACAGTCGACTAATTAAAAATACGTACTTTACCATCGGCAACATTCAACAGTCCATTTCGATTTCAAATTGTTACTGACAATCAAATGTATTTTTGTCTCCCATCCCGCCAGCCAATAAATTGAGTACTTTCCCTTATCTATCTGTAACCTTGGCAGATTCCTTGGAATGAATATCTCATTCTTCTTTTTTTATAACTATTGTAATAGTTTCCGCTCCAAAATTTGAACCTAAAATTATAAATATTGAAAATAATCTTTTAAATTTTCTTTCAATACTTGCTTAAGGCCCGGATGGACTGTCTGGAAAAGCTAATTTACTCCAAAATTGGGACTTCTAATTACTCCGTCAATTAGTCGTTTTTTCCGATAATTGTTAGCTAGCGGCCTAGTTGTTAACAACCGCTAGAACGCTAGCTAACAATTATTGAAAAAAACGATTAATTGACGGAGTAATTAGAAGTCCCAATTTTGGAGTAAATTATCTTTTCTAGACAGTCCATCCGGGCCTTAAGCATTTTCTAGGATTCGAATAAAAATTGCTATTGAAATTATGAATTTCCAACTGTTAGAAGATTCGAAGAATTTTTATTACTGATCAAGGCTGCAGATGCTTAGAAATAACTCCAGATAGAAAAAATTCCCATCACGTACCGTAATTGCGGACTAATCAGGTTAATCTGATGCTTCCGAAAAGAGCATTACAGCCTCCGACGATTAAAAGCCGATTGGCCTCGAAAAAGGTGTGAAAACGAGATAATTCTGGAATTAAATAGCGTGGGAGAGCAGATTGTGAACAATGATAAGAGATTCATGTCAATCCCCTGGACTTCCGCCCGTATTCTTAAGAAATAAACTATCGAAAGAGGACTTCTTGACAGTCGTGGTTGAGCACCCGTTAATTGAAACGGAAAGAAGTCTCTAAGTGTAAGCAATGTCTTCTACCCTACCCTAGGTGCATGCTAGAAATTACGCAATGAGTAAACATAGCATTTTTTTTTTTTCATTTCCATCGACTCCTGTTTCTCTTGGTGTTTCGTGCCGATTTGCTAATCGGTGGAACATGCAAATGTGTGAGGAGTGGTGGAGCACAGCCTCACGTACAGAACCTTGTAATGTTCTTTCGAATAAGATGTGATGGTTATTACTCGATGGCTCTGGGGGATTAAAGGTCTGGCGTTTTCAATTTCCACTCGGTGCATGATTGATTGAAACGTTCGACCAGAAATCACTTGACTTCCTTCAACACTCGCAAAAAAAATCAGAAAACCAGATGAAAAGATAACGTTTTCCTCTCACGGCTGATGTTTTTCATGTGAATACGATAGAAACGATAAATTAAATGTTGCCGGTGGCAAAAAAATGGTGATTAATAACTAGATTAACGACATCATTGGAGACATCGCGGAAAAATGGATCGTTCAAACCGGAAACCATCATTTCTTGTAAAAAAAAATTATCTAGTCTAGTGTCAATGCCCCTGAGGAGAAATCAATTCTTCATTTTTTACCCTTCATTTCCCTACAAAATCTGTAGAACCTTGAAGCCTGTAGCCCACCATGTTGGGCCCACGTATGGGTATCTGGGTTATCCGTAAAAGCCAAACATAAATCGAACATTTATCGAGTCGAGTGACGAAAGGTGTAATTTTATTTCATTCGTCGGGGATAACGGTAGAGAATCTCAATGCAATCAAACATCATTGGAAAAAAATTCACGAACATTGAAAATTTTTACCTGTTTTTTTATGGGTGCCATTTTTATACCTCCTGCTTTCATTTTTTCGCAATAAAATTGCCGTAAGTTGATGAAAGATAGCCATCGAATCACTTAGTCAATTTAATAAGATAAAAATCTCGATGCGATTGAATATCACTGGAAACAAATTATGGAGCATCAGAAGATCTTTACTTTTATTTTTATCTGCATCATTGTTTAAATTTCAATTCTCTTCATTTTTATAGCGTCTCGTGTTTATATATTTTTTTGAATAAAACTGCCGTAAGTCAATGAAAAATAGCCATCGAAGCCTTCAATCAATTCGATGAGATAAAAATCTCAATGCATCGTAACATCACTGAAAAAAAATTCAGAAACATCTTAAAATGTTTACCTGTTGTTTTGATCTATGTCATTTTTGAAATTCAAATTCTTATAATTTTAAAAACGCGTCCTGTTGATATTTTTTAAAAATAAAACTGCCATAAGTCAATAAAAAATAGCCATCGAAGCCTTCAATCAATTCGATGAGATAAAAATCTCAATGCATCGTAACATCACTGAAAAAAAAATTAGGAACATCTTAAAATGTTTACCTGTTGTTTTGATCTATGTCATTTTTGAAATTCAAATTCTTATAATTTTAAAAACGCGTCGTGTTGATATTTTTTTTTAATAAAACTGCCATAAGTCAATAAGAATAGCCGTCGAAGCCTTCAATCACTTTAATGAGATAAAAATCTCCATGCAATGAAACATGACCGAGAGAAATTCAGAGACATCTAAAACTTTCGACCTATTATTTTTATCTGTCATTTTTTAAATTGCCATAAACAAATGAAAAATAGTCATCAATCGTTCCTCAATTTAATAAGACAAAATTAAAATCATTAGACTACGAAGTACAGTATAAACATATTTTTCTTCAATTTTCTGAAATAGCAAGTCTGTCTCATTATCATCATCATATACCCTAATGACACCTGTCGTTGTCACTCAAACTGTACACCTTCTCACATAAACCTCAAACATCCCACTCAATAAAAAAAAATCTGTTCAATAACTCATTGACACCAAGAAGAAATAGAGAAATGGCTGAATAGGATTGAATCATCATATGAATGCACCTCCGGGAAGTTGTATTTCGTTGGAGTATGAATGAAAATTACGAGGAGTTAAATTTCCGATGAGATTTAACGGACGGTAGAGCCCAAGGTTAATGTTTTTCATTATATAACGCACTTAACACTGACGGGTGTGAAAATCTTGAGTCAAGGTACGTCGACCTCATTCGCGACTGCCGAGAAAAATCACTCAACAGGAATAAAACATTTCTTCATTTTAGATGAATAAATTAGAGGGGAATGAAGAGATATTTATCGATTCAGGTGAATGGAATTAATCACGCCAAGTTCAGTCCACTTTATCCCCCTCGGTATGATAAAAAAAAAAATAATGTTATAATGATGCGCAACCGGTTCCTGATGCAAGTCGACACTTATGCTAATCATCAACGAATTGTCTGATAGTGAAAATCAACGCGTCAATCGGTTATTTTTCTCCCTTGAGTAACGGGGGATTAAAAAATCCACCAGATGTTGGGATCGGTGGAGTTAACGCCATTCTAACTGGATTATAATTGGCGATCCGGTCGCCGTTACCTCAGTTTTGCGGAGATACAACCGGTGGTTAAGGTGGAGTCATGATCGTCTGCACGTGCCTCAGAGACACGCCACCCTCGAGGGGGAAAAATTATCGGGGACCGAGAACTATAAAGTACCTTGGGGAATTGATTTTAAAAAATGAGATGTGCCCTCCAGCTTTTTAAATCACTCGTAAATACTGGCTTACCTCCTCTCCCGAATTTCAAATTTTTTCCAACAAGAATTATCATCAAATTTTTTCAACAATTAGATAACACGAAAGTATATTCAACATTAATTTAATGTAGAATTAAGGTAATTTCTTAGAGTTGAAACATGATGTTGTTCACATTATCAATGGGAGAAATTGCTTGTTATCTCTCTGAATATAAAAGGAATAGTATAAATGTTTATCTTAACGTTTTTTGAGGCTCTCATTATAGTCTCTGAAAAGCTTCTGAGAAATATTTTGCTGTCTCTTAGATCTAGATGAAAATCAATTGTGAATTAATGAATGTAATGATAATATACTGATCGCGAAGACGAAATTTGTTTAGAAATTTCTGGAAATTTGATAGAAAATGTGACCAAAGGAATAGATATGCTAATCATTATATATGACATATTGCTTGTTGGTCGCAAATATATCTTATCTATATCTTGAATATATGCGGGTAATATGTGTTCCCATATATTCTGCATATACTTGATATATTGAATTCTCGGTCAGAATAAATGTGATATAATTAATATATATTTCGCGTACATATCGCCTTCTGTACGGGAATAATTCAGAAGGGAGACATCAAATCGAATCAAGGATAAAAATGTTTATAATAATGAAAGTTTTCAAACTCCATTCCATGAGATAATGAAATGAAAAACGAGACATTTAATTGATTTGGATTTGAAATACAAAAACCCTAAGAATGTACTGACATGAAATGCAACTGAAGACAGAATCACATCGAAAATAGCCAACAGTTTATTAACTTGTCAGGAATAATTATTGGCTGAATAAAGTGTACAAGTGAATAGAGTAGATAAATTCGTGGAATGGAGAGTGATGCATGAAGTGATGTTTGAATTGCTCAGGTATCTCGAATCTACAAGGATCCGTCGATAGGCAATCCCATAAGCATAGCCGTAACAAACATAGTAAAAACCGACGAGATATTCGGTACAAAACGAACCGACAGTGATGGAATAGCAGCTGCTGACATGTTGAAGAGATTCTGTTACTGGCAGAAACGTAATAATCCAGAGGAGCCATCACCGGAGCATCACGATGCTGCACTGCTCCTAACGAGGTCGGTATAACGATTTCACATTTGCCGTCTCCTGACCATTTCCTGTCGCTAATTATGGGTCATTCGAAATGTCAGATCACCTGGGGGGGTAAAAATAGTTGTATTTCAGTCATCAGTAGACATATTGACGGTTTTAATGAGTGGAATACAGATAATTATCCGATAATTAAAGATTATTGCTGGGATTGAGCCATTCCTCGTCATATTTTACTCGGTTATTCTCGAGATATCTTGTTTATGATCTTTGGATAGTATTAATGTGATTTATTCTTTCGTTAGGAATAGATTTTTCAATTGCGCAACTGTTCGTGCACTTTTCTTTTTAATCTGTGGAAAATAATTTTTATCCGTAGGGAAAATTTGTGCCATAATCTTCGGCTGAAGAGGTGTGACACGCTGGGTTTAGCTGAACTTGGGAGAATGTGCTCGCCAGGATCATCATGCGCAATTGTACAGGACAATGGTCTCGCTGCGGCCTTCACTATTGCCCACGAGATTGGACATGTGTGAGTTAAATTCCAGGTGATAACGCCCATGTTCTACCAATGACATTGGCGCACTCGCCCACCATTTATGAAAAAAATTTCATTAAAATATATGCGTTTCCTCTGAACAATTCTCGTGAACGCCTATTGAAATTCTATGGAATTCTATATTTGGAATTCTATTCATCTTTTTTTTCCACAAATTCTGTTCCGAAGTCGTGAACTAAGATAAGTGATTTTTTTTAGGTCAGTTTTTAGTGAATATCTCGAAATTGAAGGGAGATAGCGATATTTTTGGATAGACATTTTTTGTAGAGAAAAGAGAGCGCTGCAAAAAAAGTAATTACGAAAATATCAATATTTTCCTTGAATACCAAGATATTTGGGAAAAACTGACCACAAGAAAATGTGCGCTTAACTTACTTCATTACGGAATTATTTAAACAGTTATGCAACTACACCCGGTGGGTTTACATACACATTTGATTATAAAAAAAGATCCGTGGGTGCCAATTCCTCTGTATAACTTCTGTAGGAATTTTCTTTATAAAACTTTTTGGACATACTTTTGCCATTTTTGATTTTTGATTTCGTCAGAATTCCTGTAAGTTCCAATAGAAGTTCAATGGAATTTCTTTGAGAAATTGTTACATTCTACTTTTGTAGAATCGTTGCCGTTCTGGACTGATATTTTTATCTGGGCCCTCGGTAGGTTAAGCATATCCCACGACGACGACTCCAAGTGCACGAAATTCCGGAATCGATCAGGAGTGCACAATGTGATGTCTCGAATGCTAGACGACAACACATTTCCTTGGGAATGGTCCAAGTGTTCTCGTCACTACGTCACGGAATTTCTCGAGTGAGTTTTATGGGCGCTAACTGCTCCAGCTTTTGTCTCGCATTTCTTCGGGGTTTATTCGAGGACATTTTTCAGAGGACTAAAGATAGGGCGCAGACTTCCGGGAGAAACGAGAAATTGAGTTCAAAGTGGTACATTTCATTCTAAGAAATCGTGACACGCATGAAAAAATAGTCTACATAACTGAATTGAGAAATCTAGTATTTGCTACTGAATATTTTAATACAATCTTCGATAAGCTAATAAACACTCCAAAAGGAATCTTCATAGATATCACTTGTAAGAATCCTCAAGTTCTCGATTTCATGTAATAGTCGAGCTGCTGGATGACGTTTTAAGAATCCACTCTTGAGAAATGCTCACAGAATAATTGGACATTGGGGGTAAATTTAAAGTGTATTGTTAAAGAAATGCCCTATCTGTTATACCGGATGCAATTTCATGTAAACGTTAACTCATACCCGGGAAAACCTTGGGTATCAGTGGCACGGGGAGAGAAACGAGCAGAGACGTGCTGGTGGTTTTTTTCAATGTATACAACACGCTGGTGTAGCAAAGAGTGTACCCTCGGCTTGGGCTTAGGAATCCGGTTCCACGAGTCAAGAGAAACAGTGGCTCGTGCCTGTGACTCTCCTCCTCGTGCACAGCACTGACTTCTGTCCCTTGTACAATTGTCATTTTTTTTTTACCTGGATGTTGAATTTTCCTAGGGCTGGCTCCTCCAATTGTCTCCTGGACGAGCCCGACAACATGATTAGGTCCATAGTCAGTCGACTGCCTGGTGAGGATTATTCTGAGAACGAACAGTGCGAACTTGTCTTTGGCCCGGGCTCAAAAATCTGTCCGCATATGGAGAATGATGGTAAGTCATGTGGGTTCATCATGGGTTGATTTATAGTTCTTGTGTTTTTTTTTTTCAATTCAATGAATTGAGTCCTCTTGGCCTCGTGGGAGGGACATGCATTCGGCATTAGGAGTATTGTTGACAGAACCAGTGACTCGGATCGTGTAATTAATCGAATATTCTTGAAGACACGAAAATCATTTTAACGATGCTCAAGGCATTTCTATTAAACAATTTAGTGGGCATTCAGTTTTCCTCGTGTTGAAATAAGTCAGCACAACCAGAAAAATTATTCATTGGAATTTATCAAAGTATATTTGGTTTGGTTTATGATTTTTGCTTCTCTGAATACTTTAAAAGATTTAATCATTTTAGTCAAAAATATGTCATAAAACCATTCATTAATAAAAATCAAAATCAATAATTGAATGAGATTTTTGTATAGTGATTCATTGCTATTTTCAAATTTTGAGTCAATTTCAAATATAATTGCGACTAAAATTAAATTTATCTGCTGAGAAGAAATAACTGAAATTAAATATGTTTCATAATTATCAATTTTTGGGAAAAATATATTCAAGCCGATTCTATTTTCGAGAGAAAATAAAGTTTTTTTTTTTTAAATAAGGCAATATTTAAAAAATCAGAAAAATTGCTAGTCTCAATTTCCAATGAAATCATTGACTGGATAGTGTTTGACTTGTTGAGAGAGTAACTCATCGCAACTCCAGTAAATTAATTAGCAGTAAGAACACGTAGTAATTAAGGAGCTAGGTAAACTTAGCCCATGGTTGGTTACCGGCCAGGCAGTGTGCAAGAGACTTTGGTGCACCGCGCCGTCCTGGAGCCATCAATCTCACTGTCATACCCAACACATGCCCTGGGCGGATGGTACACCCTGTGGTAATGGCAAGTGGTGTCACCGTGGTGAGTGCGTCTCCAAGAAAAATCTAGCCCCAGTCGATGGACAATGGGGTGAATGGGGGCCCTACGGATCCTGCTCCAGGAGCTGCGGTGGAGGGATTAAAATCAAAGAACGCGAGTGCAATAATCCACCGCCCCAGAACAATGGAAATTACTGTATTGGTGAACGAGTCAGGTATCGCAGCTGTGGGACTAAAGAGTGTCCCTCTGGATTTGTTGATTTTCGTGAAGAGCAGTGCGCCAATTTCAATGATAACAATCTCAACATCAAAGGGCTAGCACATGATGTCAAGTGGCACGCCAAATATATCAAAAGTAAGATTTTAATACCATTCAAATTCAATGCATACACAGAAATTATCAGGATTATTTATCCTTTTTTATCGCATTGACGTCGGCTTGTCCTACCTATCAGACGTAATCTTTGATTTGAATTTGATCATCTACTTTAAAGTGTTTGTAAATTTGGGTCTGAAATTGCGCTGCAAAATTCACTCCAATGATTATAAAATGATAATGATAAAAAAGAGGAAAAATTATTGAAGCATGGAGGATAATCGAGATGTTGATTTTGAAGGATCTGACGAGTTTGCTGAAAAATAGTTAAAAATACACAATTTACCAGCCACAGGATGGGGGAAAGGAATACATTTGACAATCAATAACAATATAGAATCAAAATGTTGTTGCAATTTTTCCTCTGTTTTTAAACTATTTTTCAATTTGAACCCTTGATTTAGATAATATTTTGGGCTAACAAGATAAACCTAAAAATGAAAATTACACTAAACTTCTTCATTCATCTTTATTTCTATTTTTTGAATCTTATAAAAAAATCAATGGTAAGGGAAAAAAGTCACAGTTTTAACTGGTTCTTAATTTTTGTATCGCAGTTCCACCTGAAGAGCGGTGTAAACTCTACTGTCAAGTGGACAGCAATCAGTACTATATGCTGAGGGATAAAGTAATCGATGGCACACCATGTGGACCCGACACCTTTCATATTTGCGTCAACGGGCACTGCAAACCAGCTGGCTGCGATCACACACTGAATTCCACCGCTGAGTTGGATACTTGTGGGGTTTGTCGAGGAAATAACAGCACTTGTCAGAGGATTACTGGATCGTACAACACCAGTGGAATTTATGGATATCGTAGAGTTGTCAAGATCCCTGCTGGTAGCAGCTTCATTGATATCAGGCAGGCTGGCTGGGGAGGACTCCATAATGATACCAACTATCTAGGTAGACTGAAAATTTTCATTCGAGACGTGAAATTCAAGCAAACTTTTGGAGATTAATCGATTTTTAACTGAACAGCCAATTTTTGGAGAACAAGGCTGTCGATTATTCCAGGACTTAATGAATTCTTCGGTGATAATATGTCTGTGAACTCATAAAAAATTCATTTTTGTTGAAAATTTGGGTCAATTTTTAAAATAGAGTAATTGAGTGTATTTTTTCAAGAGAGATTATTTTGTGATCATAATTATGTTAATTGATTGGTTTTTTCTTTCAGCATTGAGACTTGGTGAAAATGGTAAATACATACTGAACGGTAATTTCATGGTGATGCATCGAAAAGTTATTGTTCTTCCGGGCTTGGCAATCGAGTACAGTGGTCCAGGCCCTAAAATCGAACGGCTGAACAGCTCCAGACCCATCAACTTCGATTTAATTTTAGAGGTAAAATTACTGTATGCTCGAGAAATTTGTATCCACCCATTATGAAATGATTTACGAGTCCAGTTACTCCCCCTGTACTTCCATACTACGTTTCTAAATTTTTTTTTTAATCTTGTTTCAATGCTAAAAGGTCCTATCGGTGGGAGATATCATGCCACCGCAAATAACTTACGAGTACACGGTACCGAAGAGAATACTGGACAGTTTTACATGGATTTTGAGTGATTGGTCCACGTGTAGTCACATGTGCCAGGGTAGTAGGCAACGTAGAGCAGAATGCCGGAGTACAGAACATAAAGACGTTGTGTCCGACGATTACTGTCCACCGGAGGAACGTCCACAGGAAGAAACACAAATGTGTAACAGCCACTGCATTCTACAGTTGAGTCACTTGTGCTATTTTCATTTTGACCCAATTTTCCGATGCTATTTCCTTGTTACTCGGAATTCTCAAGTCATTAGAAGATTTCTCTCTGTTGGGTTATTCTTTTTCCTTCAAATAATTCATAGTAAAGAATAATAAATCACAAATATCTTAATACTAATTATAGTATTACAATTATTAACTTGCTCCCACTTTTTTCTTTTTCCATAGAATACTTCCTATGAAATCCTAAACATTAATAGAAAGTCTAATAAAAATCCAGTAGAGTTGCCTGATTAACTTGTTAGCTTTTTCTATCAATTTTTTTTGTATCTACTAAAAAATTAGCTGAAGTAGAATAACATAGAATAAATAAATCAAATGATAATTAACTGAAATTTTTGTCCCGTTAATTTCAGATGGCAAGAAACATCAAGATCAGAATGCTCGAATCACTGTGGCCTGGGTACGCAAACAGTGACGACTCGTTGTGTCCAAACCCTGACAACATCAACAAACCGAGCACCTCGTCAATTTCCACCCCACGCCTGTTCCCATTTGAATCGTCCCAAGGAGTTGGTGTCCTGCACAGGGCCATGTGATGATGCCCACTGGTCCTACTCTGACTGGGGAAGCTGCAGTGTCTCCTGTGGAGGAGGAATACAAACGAGAACAGCAAATTGCGTGGATTCCATGGGGAGAAATGTGCCAGATGACAAGTGCAGTAGCTCAAAAAAAATTCTCGAAAGATCGTGTGGGCATGAGGCTTGTCCTCAGTGGGCCTTTGGCGATTGGTCCCCTGTAAGTGCCGAAATCCATCCAATTATCTAATCAATTATAGGAAAAATGTCTATTCAATCAATTTTCCGTGAATTAAACTGAGTAAAATTTTTAAATTGATTTCTTCCTCTCGTTCTTCTATTTCAATTCATTCATCTTTGATTTGCAGTGTTCCGAGAGCTGTGGAATTGGAAAAAGAGCTCGTCCGTTCTGGTGTCAAGTGGAAAATCGCGTGGTTAATTCATTATACTGCACTGATCAACTTCCAGCTGTTGTAAAACCCTGCAATGCTGGACCCTGTCATCGCTGGTCTACCGGAGAATGGAGTCCAGTGAGTTTTTCTTTTTTTCTACTATCGACAGCCTCTGGGACAGCACGTGCCGTCGATCGACCCAAATTAAATCAACTATTGAATTTCTAGTGCTCGGTCACGTGCGGTGAGGGAACTCGAAGAAGAAAAGTCGCTTGCTTGAATGCAGACGGATCAACCGGAGATCAATGCGCTGCTTCTGAGAAACCAGAGGACTCAGATATCTGCAAAATGGAAGTCTGTCCCACTGCTGTTAGTCTCTGCTATAAATTTTCATTATTATCGAGAAAAGAATATTGTGACGTTCATGAGTTTTGGTTTTTAGACGACTGTTCCTGGGGTTTATTCCAATGGGGTACACGGTGAACCGTCTCAGGAGGAGAACGAAGTCGACAGCAATGGTATCACCTTTCATTCAGGATATGCTTGGCGAAGTGGAAATTTCGGGGAGGTAAATTAATTCTACTTCATCATAAATCTAATCGGCTATTTTTTTCTATATCTTATTGGAATAAATAATTCAATCTTACTGTATTTTCAATATACTTTTAATTTATTAATTTCTCATTATTGATTTCATTAATTAACAGCAGATTGTTGAAATTGGTGAATTGAATTTCAAAGCACTCTAAAACAACATAGAGGATAAAATAGAGAGGTAATAAAATAAATTATTTTTGGTAGTGCTCACGATCGTGCAATGGTGGTTTTAAACACCGAATTGTCCAGTGCACATCTACAGAGACTCACACAGCAGCTCGAGATGATTACTGCGACTCTAATCAGCGTCCAACGAGCACTGTACCATGCAACAGACACGCCTGTCCCTTCTGGAACACCGGAGACTGGAGCCAGGTTAGCATAAAAAGACGAATCCCACCAATTTTCGAAGGGCCCACTTTGGGGTCAACATCACGTAATAACCTTAATACCCCCTTGGTTTCTTGTTCCAAATATTTCGTCGGTGATTCAGTGCAATGTGGAATGCGGCGAGGGCTACCAGCATCGGCAGGTAGGCTGCCAGAGTCAGAGAGGTGAAACACTCCCAGATAAGGAATGCAGCATCATCGACAGACCGAAGCACGCAAAAAAATGCCGGAAGGCACCTTGCGTGATACAAAGAAATCATAATTCTAATTCCAAGGGTAATCTACCCAGGAGATGGCGCGTCTCCAATTGGACTCCAGTAAGTAGTTTATTTTTATATGACTTCTACGGTGAGGAAAAATTCCCAGCGATTTATGTATTTAAAAATTTAATAGAAAAACACTTTCTCCGCGAAATTCCATTGAATTTCTGTTGGGATTATATTCAGGATTTTTTTGCGCCAATTCTGGTCATAATTTTAGCTTATCAATCATAATAATGATTATAATAATCCATTATGTCATTAAATCTCCATAGAAGTTCAATATCATTTAGGGAACGCACTAGGTTTTTCTATTAATGTTTTTCATGCTTGTATTCATGTTGTTTTCGTAAATGTTACTTTTTCACCAACAATTGAATGAGGCGTTGAGATGTTTTACGTTTGAAAAAATTTAACATAAAAACCTTGTGTTTTCTCTACGAAATTCTGTCGAATTTCCATTAAAATTCTATAAAAAATGTCTGCAACGTCGTTATATATATCTCAATGGACATTTTTTCATGGAAAGACATCCTTTCAAACTTGGAAAATGTTCAGCCAATAATCTCAACCTGCATAATCTTTTATAGAAATGGCGCAAAAATCTAATACTATTTTTATTATTTCGAAAAATATAAAAAAACTCGCAAGAAAATAATCTCACCCATCCATTCGAGATGAAAAAACCATTGAATTTCTCGACTAAAAATGTAACAAATTACCCAAATTGGCAAATTAAAAGAAAAGGGTCAAAAATATCTTCGACGAAATTTTTCTGAAAAAAAAAGAATGGGAAAGACCCCCAATCTCAATTTATTCTCCCGATATCTCTGGATCACTGAATCGCCCCAGAGCACTCACTCGATCGCCTCCACAGAGCAGAGAAAATAAACTGTACTTTCAGTGTTCAAAATCGTGTGGCGGTGGAATAAAAACGCGAAGGGTGGAGTGTGTCATGGGGACAGGAGATAACGAGCAACTGGTAGAGGACGAGCAGTGCTCGAGACTCGGGCTAGCAAGTCCAAGATCCCAGAGGCCCTGCCAACGTTTACCCTGTGACTTTACATGGCAAGAGGGCAGCTGGTCCGAGGTACCTCTAAAGTGAAAAGAAAAAAAGTCTAATAAATGAAGAATCGCTTTAACTCCTATATGATCCTGGGGACGCTAGAGGAAAATCGCATGATTCACACTGTCTCATTACCCCAAAAATTGTACAATTTTTTTTTTCTTTTTTCAGTATCATTTAAGTCACACGTAGATCCAGTTAGGTCCCATCCTCCAACCAATAACCCGTCTTTTAAGTATTGCTTTTTATGGCTGTAGTCTCCCTGGGTCAGGGTCAATTGGCATAATTAAATAAATCAATCGTGGATTCAGTTGGTAGAGTTCACAAATAGAAAAAGTTACACGGTATTTAGACAGACATTACCTTATGTTTCCTCGTGTTTTCAAGATAATACGTATTTTTTCACATTATTAGTAGAATTAATCGTTAGAAATTCTACGAGAATATCATTGTACAAAATCATCTGAATGAAGTTGAAGTTAAAATTAAAATTCGCTGGAAATTAAAGAAATTCATTCGAAATTTCATTCAATTTGATGTACCGCTTTAGAAATTCAAGTGTCAGATAAAGTCATCAAGATTTATTTAAAGATACGTATTTTTCTTCAGGACACGTCGAAAATTAATTCTCTGCTTTTTTTATTGTTAATGTTTCATTTAACTCGTTCTATTATTTTAAAAATGCATGGAAAGTCTAACTAGCTCCGAGTACACGTGTTTTATCAGTTGTATTGTTTGTCCATCGGAAATTCCCGAGGAATCGACGTAAATGGTGTCATTGGGGTGACTAATACAACGCAAATGACGAAAGGAAAAAAATGAGAAAAGTAAAATTATTGGAATATTGCACATGACGCAGGTTTTAATTTATGGTCCGACGATAATTTCATCGTGGGAAATGCAATCGCAATTATCCAGGCGATGATTATTGTCTTTCAATATGAAATCATTGGGAATGGCTTAATAGCATCAAGAGAAATTGACGAAATAATCGATTACAAGAAACAATTTTCCTCTGCATGGATGCATGTGCATAACCGTAGAGTTGATGATTAATTGAAAGACGGGCGCATGAATATTGGTGTAATTAATTCGATATTTTATTTTTGTCAAAGTGCTCGAAAGACTGTGGAGCTGGCATTCAGAGGCGAGCAGTGACTTGTCACAAAATCAATCGATATGGATGGATCGATCCAGCACCAACAGACGGATGTCCATTGAGTGATAAACCAAGAGGCGAGCAGACATGTAAACTCCAGGACTGCAATGATAAATTTTACTGGACTGCAGGCCCCTGGAGAAAAGTAAGATAAACAATTAATTGACCTTACCTCACCAATTAATCCGGTTCCCGAGAAACATTTCTGAACCTAAGGGAGACATTGAAATACTTGTGAAAACCTTTTTTCTAGCTCTTCTCTCAGTCTACAAAAACTCTCCTACAAAAATTCTACTATCTCTCGTAGATTCCGAGATTATTTTGAAAAATGTGTTTAAAAACACGTTGACTTGTTACCCTTCGCCTCTTCACTACTGAAGTATTTGTGGAATTATTACTGAGTTGAATATTTCAAGTGCTTTATTTGCTCATAACGTTTCGAACATTTACGATCCTTGGTGGTGAAAAAGCAAGTGTTACATATCCATGAAATCATCTGAAATACCGTGAATGCCTGCGGCTAAGAAACAATGTTTATTAGTGTATAAAAATATTTCATTGTTTAAGAAAGATGTTACGAATAGTAAAATGTTTTATTACAGTGTAGCCATCAGTGTGGGCGCAAGGGACGACAGATACGCAGGCTATTTTGTCACGACAAAAGTGGTAAAAGAGTGGGTAAATTCAATTGTCCAATGGAATTTAAACCACAGAGAAAACGCAAGTGCAACCAAAGACGATGTGGTCCATTGACCTGTCTCGAGGCACAAAAGAAATTCAAAGCAACTGGAGATGGTGAATACACATTGCTCATTGGTGGTAAGAATATGTCGATCTATTGTCACGATATGTCGACAAGTGAGCCAAGGGAGTACTTGACGTTGCCAGCAGGAGACAGGGAAAATTATGCTGAAATTTATGACAAGAGGTGGGTTTTTTAATTCTTCCACTTTCCTGAATATTTGATTATCTTGATTCTCTTGACTGATAGATTGTTGGATCCCCGGACGTGCCCCTATAATGGATTGAGGAACGATAGCTGCGAGTGCGTCACAGAACGTGGAACTATATCAGGAAGAACTATGTTTAAACGTGTCAGGATTGATGTGGCTAAATTAATTATTATAGGTATGATTTTTTGAGTAATTAGTTAATTAGGTTGGAGTGGTTGGAATGAAGGACTCAAGTTATTTTCATGTTATTATCATTTCCAGCTGATGATTACACGTTCTCGTGGACCAAAGGAGCCAAACGAGTGGAGTATGGCAAAGCTGGAGACTGCTACAGCACAGTCAATTGTCCTCAGGGACGTTTTAGTATAAATTTGAGTGGCACTGCCCTCAAACTCACACCTCAAGTCTCGTGGGTGCCACAGAAGTCACGAGCCTATCTGGACGTCCACAGGGTTGTGAGTCAATTATTCTTATGAGGCTCATAAATTTGGATTGGCAATTTTTTAAATTATGGATCTATTTTAAAAATTATTGGTTTAAGGAGAAAGAATTAGAGGACTGTTCTGCAATTGATGGAATTTAGGACAAGAAAGAGTTTTTTGATTGTTTTGCTGAAATCGATAGCTTTTAAAATGAATTATTGATTAATAATTGAAAAATAAAAAATCCAAGTTCTTGGTTAGTTTAGTATTTACTATTGCGTTTTTCTCTTTTTACAGAATGATCAGAGAATTCTCGGCAAATGTGGGGGCTACTGTGGCTTTTGCGCTCCAAGCATGGACTTGAAACTGGAGGTATTGTCCTAGCCGTCTACAAAATCAAGTCGTCGAGGATCCTTTGGTGATTCCTAGAGGAAATCATGGGACTGATGGTCACGAGTGTCATCTCCAGGTGGAGGATGAGCACTTTTCTCTTTCTCTCTTTAGGAAAGAGGGTACTCTCACCATCGTCGTCTTCTAGTATTAATAACTTATTAATATAGATCCTAATGTTTATTTTTACATGAAGCATTGATAACGTGGACGTGAGACTTTTTCTAAGCTGAGGCTAACGATAATTCAGTAGTTTAGGTGATAGTAACCGAATTGTCGCAGACACTGAGAGGAGAAACTGGGAGTTGATGTTCTTCCTCTTGGAGTTATCATAAGTGCTCTCTAATTGAATCAATGAGAAATTGACAATGCGGGTTCACTGCCATATTTGTCCATAATACGTGCCTTTCGTCGAAATTGGAGTGAATCTCATTCTGGCTTCGATGATCCAATGAGATCGAATTTATTGCAATATTTGTAGAATATATCAGTGCAAAGGGGTAAAAAGTAACAAATCAATTCAGTTAATTGGTGAATTTTTGGGAATAATTCTGAATCTAAAAAAGATGTCAATCGTTTTATTAGAATCTTTTTTGTAGCTCACATCTAAAATTACAAGAAAAACATGAAAAAATGTCAATATCTCTTTTAGATTTCCAAATATTCCTTAAAACTCAATTTGTTATTCTGTACTTCATCTTTACTGATTTGCATTGGTGTCTTCAATGTTGCGACATTTTCGAAGAATTTTAGGATAAAGATATAGTGGTATTAGTAGATAATAAATGTTGAATGAGGAAGTGAATTATTTTCAAAAGAATTAGGTGAATTATCGTTCACTATTTCGATGTTTTTGGACGGATGGGACTGTTGATGGCCCGCATAGACTGCCATTTATCGTGTATTTTTTTTACGTTCAAGGAATTTTTTTGCATTAGGCAGCGAAATATCGCAACGTTATTCGAGCGATTAACTTCGACCGTGTTCTTCTACTTTTTCTTTATTTTTCCACTCGTGGTGGAGGAGTATAATTGTAAAATATGGAATGCCTCCGTAGCAGTGAATATGAAGGATCAGATAATTTTTACTGCCAAATGTACAAGTATTTGTTGAAATTATCGAATTGGCGTTAATTCGGAGAAAAATTATCTCGATAAATTATAATTAATATTATTGATAGATTATCTCGAATTATTATTACTGTACTCCTATCAATATTTCCTGCATTGGGGAAGACAGATTTCTCATGTGCATTGAATGAACAAGGCATATTTTTCGTCGATTATTTTTCGTTCTGACTCCGCATATTCTTATTTCAAAATCTACCACGCAAGTCTGACTAGTAATTTATGAACAAATAATTATTTTTATTTTTGCTTCGCTATCAGTAAGATTGTTATATGGGATTAAATAAACTTTAAATGATAGTGTGTGTATTGTATTATACAGGTAGAAAATTTACTAGAGAATTTTTTATGTGAACCAGTGTATGTGAAGCGTTGTTTAAAGATAAATATAAGAGCCATTGTTAAGTGGTGCTGATGGCTATTATCTGTCTATTCATGTTCCCTTCTCTTTTTTTTTCAAACAACAATCTGATTCCAATTCCATGAATTGAGGAAGATTATTCAATTTTTTTTTGTTATGTACTAAAACACCTCTTGTGAATTTTTCCCTGTTGAATGATATTAATGAAACCAATCAGACAAACAATATTGATCGATCGAAGTTTATCAGAAGTGGGAGATAGCGATGTGGGAATCCTGAGACTGAGTCATAAATGATTTCACATGAATGCGAACATCATCACGCAGTATTCCGTGGAATCATTCACGATGAAGATCATCATGTTAATCGCTATCATTGCAGTTCCCACTATCCATGTGAGTTGTCTTAATTCTTGATGAAAATTATTGGATATCTTTCGATAAGTTTATTGCAAATAAATGAAGGAATTCTGTTGTCACAGGATAAAGATAATTATTGAAAGATTTGATGACTTCATTGGTATGCCGGGAACCTTTAGCCAAAT